CAATCCGTCATTCCTAGCATTTGGGGCCGCAAGTCTTCGCAAAATTTGACCAAAGGACGATAGGGGTGAAAGACAATAAGGGAGCAGTCCTAAGTGGGGAGAAAGAGACGGCAGGGAAATTTAATATTTGCCAAGCGGTTCCAGCTTTTCGAGTATTTTTAGCATAACTTGATAAATGACTCTTTGTACGGATAAAGGTTTGAGTTGGAATGTATTAAAACACACAGGGTTGTCACAATTATCTGGAAGAGCATAGGTAATGGCTACAAAGTTTTCACTTCATCGACGCCATAAACATCCCGCCGCTTATTACTTGATAAATTTTTTTTAAAAAATACTGTGTATTAAGGGCGCCTCACATTGAAGATGACAAAAAATGAACACACGCGACCATTTCCTATGCTGTAACGATCCTACTTAATCGTTACTGAAGGGTGGAAACCTCAGTAGCCGTGCATATGTTGCGTACCTGCGCCCGATTTCCTCAGAATACTTTTGGTGGGTACGTAGCTCACTGGATAAATCAGACGCTTATATGCCCGTGATAGGCTGTCGGTGAAATTCTAACTTGGCGTGCTTTGTGCTCCTATAAGTTTCCTATGGGGTGGAGATTTAAGGCACGATATAGCCCGAAATGTGAGTTGCAATCAGGAAAATTTTAGACGTTCGAAGGAGAGCATTAAACGCTACAGAATGCACTGCAACATATTCCTTACAAGAAGAGGCCTGTCCATTTGAATTTCCTCATATACCGGTCATTAAAAAACTACCATGGAGATTGAGTAAGACACGTTTTCAGTTGTCGATATTGTTATTGACCGGATTTAACCAGTTCCACCATATCCTAGTGCATAAGTCCTCACCGAGATTTTATTGAAAGTATGTAAGCGGTTGTCAGACCTAATAGGCTTTTCAGATAAAGACAGTGCTTCGATTAAATCGGACAGGTGTTCAACTTGTGATGACAAGTGTCGTCTGAAGTGTGACAGTACTCTGGTTGAAGATTAAGCTACTTCCGCTGCCTGACTACTTACGAACTACTGGTGCATTTAATGCAACGACACTGCATAACAGCCTTTCACGGAACAGTTTAGCGCCGTG